GGAGGAAGGAAGGAAGGAAGGAAGGAAGGAAGGAAGGAAGGAAGGAAGGGAGAGAAGGGTTTCCTTATTCATCCATTCAGCAAATATTCAAATGCCTGCAGTGAAACAGTCCCCATCTGAGCCATGTGGAAATGCACAGTGAACAGGACTAGCAGGTTCGGGTCCATGCTCACAGCATCTCAGGGTTTGTATGTACAGATGGAGAAACGGTGCCACAGATGCAAGGGTTATACTGACGCTTTCCACCCTTATTGACTAGTCACCACATACCTAACACACTCTGCGTGTATCCATAACAACCCTCTGAGGTAAGTCTTGATTACTTCTCGTCCCATCTTCAGATGATAAAAACAAGTCGCAAAGAGCTTGCCCAAATGTGTGCAGATACAAAGCATCGCCTCCGCACAGGAGTGGGTGGACAACTTGCGGATGGCTCTTTTTGGCAGGAGACCCAGAATGCAGCGCCTCTTGGACATCCACACGTGTCGGAAGGTGTGGGGTCTGCTCTCTGCTGATTATCTGGGGCCCGTTCTCGCCCTCCTTCCCTCCCACAGCACAGAGCACCAGATGTATCTTATGTCCTTCCTGCCGGTCCTGCAAATGGCAACATAAGAGAGAGGTCCAGCCTTCCACTTCCCCATCTCCCTCATTCTCTGCCCAAATCCTGCCAAGTGCTGCTTCTGGAATATTTTTCTCCTGTTCTCACCCAGGCTTTGTCAGCTCTTGCTTGGTCTCTTGAAGAAAATCGAACCTTCAGTCTACAGCTTCCAGGTGCCAGGCTCTGCACTGGGCACTTCTCAGGCATTTCCCCACTTCACAGGCAGAAACTTCCGGCTGGTAATACTAGAATAAATCCTCATCTGGTCTCCTTGCCTCACTCTGTTTTAACCCATTCCTCTGACACTGGGAGTGAGCCGGGCACATGTGGACTCTTGGGTCCAGGCATGGGGATCAGACTTCTCCATCGTTGCCTGCTCTCTCTGCTTCAGTTTCCTCTTTCATAAAAAACTAGAGACCCGGTTCATGAATTCGTGCACTAGTGGGGTCCCTCTGCCTGGCCTGCAGGATCAGGCCAAAACCAGCTCTCTGATATCCCCTGAGGGGCCCCAGATTGTGAGAGGGCGCAGGCCAAGCCGAGGGACCTCACCCGTGCACGATTGGGGCCAGGGAGGGACTCAGGAGGTTGGCCAGCTGGGGAGGGACCACAGGAGGGTTCCTGGGCGTATCCAGCCCATCTCGCTCAGCCAGACCCCAGCAACAAGCTAATCTACCAGTCAGAGCATCTGCCCCGTGGTGGTCAGTGCACATCACAGCGAGCGGTTTAGCAGCCTTAGCATGTCATTAGCATATTATGCTTTGATTGGTTGAACAGCCAACTGGCTAACTGGACACCTAGCATATTAGGCTTTTATTATATAGGATGGGCTAATGGTGGTATCTATCCCCACAGGGTTGTAAAATGGATGAAATGAGACAGTGTGCTTATTAGCCAAGTGCCCAATTCAGAGCAGGTGCCCAACATATTGTAGCTATTAATATGGTTTGTATTAGTCAGAGTAGGCTAACCTGTGTAACACATAACCCCAATGTTTCAATGGCTTCATATAATAAAAAAGGACTCATTGTTCACATAATGGTCCATAGCAGGCTCTTTACCACATGTGACTCAGGGATCCAGGCCACTTCCACTTGGAGACCCACCATCTAGGTCCTCAGATCTTCTCCTCCAGCCAGCACATGGGAAAGCGAGAATGTGAGGCCCTATGCAGGAGGTTTTCATGGGCTACCCAGGTTTGATTAGAAGAATTCTGACCATCAAAAAATCACTAGACTTAATAAATGAATTCGGCAAGGTAGCAGGATACAAAATTAACATCCAACACCAATAATGAACTCACAGAAATAGAAACTAAAAAAACAATCCAATTTACCATTGCCACAAAAAAAATTAAGATACCTAGGAATAAACTAAACTAAGGAAGTAAAATACCTGTACTCAGAAAACTACAGGACGTTGAAAAAAGAGATAGAGGAAGACATAAACAAATGGAAGAATATACCATGTTCATGGATTGGTAGAATCAACATCATTAAAATGTCCATACTACCCACAGCAATCTATAGTTTCAATGCAATCCCCATTAAGATATCAACAGAATATTTCACAGACCTAGAACAAACTCTCCAAAAATTCATCTGGAATAAAAAAAGACCCCAAATAGCCACAGTAATCCTAAGAAAGAAGAAAAAAGTCAGAGGGGTCACAATACCAGATATCAAGCTATATTACAAAGCCAATGTTCTCAAAATGGCCTGGTGCTGGCATAAGAACAGACATATAGACCAGTGGAAGAGAACAGACAACTCAGAAATCGACCTAAGCCATTATGCTCAATTAATATTTGACAAAGGAGGCAAGAGCATACAATGGAGTCAAGATAGTCTCTTCAATAAATGGTGTTGGAAAAATTGGACAGATACATGCAAATCA